ATCTGTAATCCTTAAAGAGCTGGCAAAGCAAAGATATAAGTAAGTTATTACATTGCCCCCTTCTGTCTAAACTTCTAAATTTACTGAAATATTAGGACTCTTGTGTAAGGAGATTTATGAAGACCCGAGTTGTATTTCCTGCCTTTTCTGCCATGTGCAGATCATTGTCCTAGTCTCAAGGATGAAACAGAATTCAAGGTGAATCAGATACGGATCCTTCCTTGAAAGCCTGGAAAGGTCACAGGCAGTGAGGTACTGGGAGGAAATAAGAAGGCAGAGTGTGCCCACCTATGGGGCAGGCGAGATGCAGAGTTCCCACTTGGTGCCGAAGGACTGTGGAAGGAGGCACAAACCTTAGAGCTCAGTGTATCTGTTTGTTTTTGTTGTTAAGAAGGGAGAGGGAGAGACACACAGGAGAGGCTCCTGATGGCCACCATGGCCAGGGCTGGGCCTGGATAGCAGGGCTCTCAGCCGTTCCACTGCTTTTCCAGGTGTTATTACTGAGATACCAAGCGAAAATAGAAACGTGAAGATAAAGATTAGATAGACAAAGTTATGTATGGGTTGTTTGTTCTTGTCTTTTTCTTTCTGGATTGTGTTTAGGAGCTGTGACCATGAGATAATACTTTGAACTTGGCAGGTCGGGAAAGGTTTCACAAGAGAACCGGAAGTAGTGTGGGGACAGGGCAGAGCCCTGTAACTTGCAGTGCTGGAATGCCAGGCTGACAGGCACAAGGCCACTGCAATGGTCTTGTTCTCTAAGGACGAGGGAAATGGTGGAGGCTTTGAGGTTCTCACTTTCCACTCTTGTAATTCAGGACCTCCAACTGTAGCCTCAGTTTCTAAAATGAGTGGTTGTCATAAAGCATCCTGTTAAGAAGCTTAATCTCTGAACACTCAGATCTGTTTCAGAGCAGTCCAGATGAGATTAAGGGACTGTGGAGTCAAAGAAGCAATGGAGTAGTTGGATGCCCAAGGTGGTATGGAAGAAGTGCCAAGGCCCCTCCCCAGCCCACCTGGGGCAGTGGTCTTGGTCAGAACCATCTTGCCGGTTTTAGACAGTCTGTGAGCAAAAGGGCATTTGTCAAGATTTTTTTTTGTAAGAGAACATGTTGAAAGCAGTGCTCTTGAAGGACTTTGAGTTGTCTGCCTGTGATATGTGGAAGGAACTAGCGACAGATGTGGGGATGAAGGTGTTAAGCACAGCTGGGTAAGGTGCACTGGGACTGTAGGAATCCAGAAGAGTTGTTGAACACTGTCCGTCTGGACCAGTAAGCCGAGCACCATGTGCTCTCCTGTGTCTGTGAGAGAGATGCTGCTGTGGGCAGTTCGTAGTGATGTTTAATGCCCACGCAGTAACTGCATGATCAAGGACATGCATTATTTTCAAAACACATGTGTTTCTTAAGCTGCCTCCAAAGAGCAAATGAGAGAAATTATGGAAGAAATTGACCACTTGAGTAACTTCGGAGTCTTGCTTTAGGACATTGAATGATGCCTCCCCAAATTGTATGTGTTCTTGGTTAATCTGACCACATGGTGCGGAAAAAGGCTCTCGAAGACTCCAAAGCAAACACAACATGGCCCGTGGGTACAGGCCTGGAAGAAATGTCTTTTTCCACATTCTTGGCACATTGTCATCCTCACCCACAAAGTCATGCTAAGAGATATTTTCTTAAGGTCTACCATCCCTTAGAAGACTTTTAGGGTTTTAAAACTTCCCTATTATTTATTCTTAATGTTTGTTTTGTTTGAAAGGGAGAAAGAGAGAATCTTCTCTCTGCTGGTTCAGTCCTCAAATGACTGTTGGAGCTGGGACTAGATCAGGTTGCAACCAGGAGCCAGGAACGCCTTGTGGATGTTCCTCATGGGCAGCTGGAACCCATCTACCTGAGCCATCACCTGCTGCCTCCCAGGGTGTGCAGGAGCTGGAAGCTGGAGTCCAGGAGACAGGAACTTCAACTCTTGGATATAGGATGCCAGCATCCCAAGCAGTGGCTCACCCACTGTGCCAGACACCTGCCTCAAGATACAGCTGTGTTTCTTTTTCTCTCATAGACAATACAACCTCACCAAGATTAGTAACTTTTCTAGTCTGTCCCATGAATTAATGTCCTTGGGAAGTGAGAAGTGTTTACAAGTATATTCATAGATAGTCTTAAAATGCTCACCAGTCTTGGGGAGTTCACGTGGAAGAAGCATCCCTTCTGACTGGTGGGAGCCAGGACAAGTCCAAAGCTCTCCACCATTTCTGTCAGGCTGCTGTCATTGTGTTTGCTCATTTAGATGAATACCCCAGCTCAGTATTGCCCCGAGGGACTCAACCTACAGCCTTCATTTCCTAAGTCCATGTATGCCTTTGGACTTCAGGAGGATTTCAAAATGGATGTTAATAAAGATTTATGAAATCCCCAGAGGAAGAGGTCTGCTGAGTAGAAAACCTTAGTCAAGTTAGTAGGATTAAGAAGTACATTTTAATTGTAAAAATGTGTACTGGAGGAATAATTAGTTCAAGGGATCTGTTGGAACAGAACCTAATTGCACGCAAGCATGTGGGCTTCGTGGAGCTTAGCAGACATTCTTTAAATGGTTTTTTGACTGGATATGTGAATCTACAAGTAAGCACTGGGATATGTCGTGCCAAATGTGCCATTATCTTGCACTGTTAAAGCCGCATTTGTGCCAAGGAGAAGCCATGTAAAGACGCAGGTGCCTAACCTTGTTCTCACACTCATGACTGCATTCCAAGGAGCCCATTAGGAGTTAGCTAGACCTTCATCATGCAGTGTGGACAGCCAACTTCCTAGGGCAATAATAGCTCAGTGTGAGACACGTAATAGACACTCAAGTACTTATGAAATTGTATCCTGAAATCCAACTCTGGTGTTGGCAATATGACTTCCTGCCCCAAACTCTGCGAGGCGATATTGCCCTGTAATGAGCTGCTTCTGTTAAGTAAGAACTCAGACTTGCAGAGTCAAGGTTCCCCCTGGCTACCTTCACCTAACAGCAGCTGAAGCTGTAGGGAAGCTGGGCAGGACCACGCCTTCACTGCCTTGTGATCATTCATGGAACATTTCTCCTGAAATTTGGCCTTTGCAGGTAGATCATCTGGAAATCTTTAGAAAATGCGGAGTGTCGACCAGTTGGTCGGGATGGGGTCGGAGTCTGTGTTTCTAACCTCTTGATGCAGCAGGCTGAATCACATTCTGAACTGCTTGATCAGAAGAGCTGAGTGTCGAAGTACTGAGAATAAGTAGGTACGGGATGGTGGAGGGGCACTCCAGAGGCTGCCTGTGTGAACATGCCTGAGTCCCTTGATGGACCTGGACAGCAGATTTTCTCATTCAAAAAAAAAAAAAAGAGGGACTCAGTGCGATGGCCTGGCAATTAAAGTCCTTGCCTTCAATGCGCTGGGATCCCAAATGGGTGCCAGTTCTAATCTTGGCAGCCTCGCTTCCCATCCAGCCTGTGGCCTGGGAAAGCAGTCGAGGATGGCCCAAAGCTTTGGGACCCTGTACCCACATGCGAGACCTGGAAGAAGCTTCTGGCTTCGGATTGGTGCAGCACCAGGCCATTGTGGTCACTTGGGGAGTGAATCATCGAATGGAAGATCTTCGTCTCTGTCTCTCTTGCTTTCTACGTATCTGACTTTGCGATAAAAATAAAAATAAGGCTTTTTTAAAAATTCAGTACAGTTGTGGGTCAGCATTTTGGTGCCATGGGTTAAGTCAACACCTGTGATGCCAGTGTGCTATGTTAGTGCCAATTCATGACCCAGCTGCTTTGTTTCCTTTCTGGCTGTGGACTGGAGTGCTTGGGAAGGCAACAGAAGACGGCCAAGGGGCTTGGGCCCCTGTACCCAGTGTGGGAACCCTAGCTGACACTCGTGACATGACCCAGCCAGTATGGCCATTTGGGGGAGTGAATCAGCAGCCGTAGAAAGGTCTCTATCTCTCTCTCACTGTCTGGCTGTAACTCTGCCTTTCAAATAAATAATTATTTTTAATTGAAAATATTTACAATAATAGGACAGTAATACCTACCACACAGGGTTATTGCAAGAATTAATAATATTAGTGAAAATTTGTGAGTGGATAGCATATAGTTATTGTTAAATCCATGAATTCTCACCCATATTGCCCTGTATTTGTAACTGGTGGGGATGGGAGAAGTGTGCTCCCCCACAGTTCAAGGAATTCTCTTCTTCTTTCTACTTTTTTTTTTTTGCCAGTTACAATATCTGCCTTTAACAAGAGATCAGCATTTGTGGAGTTGCCTCATGAGCAAAGCTGATCCCTACTTTTTCTTTCTTCATGGATTTTGATGACCAGGATTAAAATCCAGTGTCTCCCCATGATACTAACAGGACAGAGAACTTTACCCAAGAAGATGGCAGTGACCTTCAGGCTTTAAGTCCTTTTTAAGCCAGAACATAATAGCCGAACCAAGAGTTGAGTGAGGAAGCTAGAGCTAGCCCTGATTTTCAGGAACAAAATGGGGTCAAAGTAGCTGCTTGTTCTTTGGCACCAGTGATCACACTGCTTTCTAATTGCGTGGGCTGTGTGTGGATTTTTCCCCTTTTAGAATACAACTGCAAAGGTTCACCTTGATAGGTTAGCCTGGCTCATCCTTGCCAGCGAGCCCAGCCATCATGGGGCATCTCAGCCTACAGTAGTACAGCTGACTCCTAGGCTGCCCTGACAGTGCCCACAGCCACAAACTGATCCCCTGAGGCTCAAAGTTTCTTGGTAATGAACTTAATGAACTATGGTTGAAGAGTCCAGAAAGAACCCTCAGTATTGCATAGGGCTATTTCCAGAAAGAATTCGCAGACAGAAAGGTGTTAATAGCGCCTTCAAGGAACCCAGTTCAATTCATTGGTGATGGAATCCAGAATGAATCAGCTGTCTTTGCTCGGCAGGAGACAGCTTACATCCTGATGGGAGGGATTTACACAAAGTGTGATGAAAGGTGATCATTCCCCTTTGCCTCTGTAGGTCCCAGGAGAAGAAGGAGGAAGCCATCCGCTTACTGAAGGACTCCATCAAGTACGGCCCCGAGTTTGCGGACGCGTATTCAAGCCTGGCTTCCTTATTGGCTGAGCAGGTAACCGTCCTCACTGGATTCCACACAGCTACTACTGAGTATATCAGTTAGTGTCACACAGATTATGGTGCTAACAGATTCATTTCAGCTCCCATTGCGCATGACAGAGTGCAAGCTCTGTTTCTCTCTCCAGCGTTCTCTGTGTTTGAGCCTCTAGACAGAGCTGAGGATCTGCTGACCACTGCAGGTTAAAGTGTCGAGAACAAGGCTGGTTGCTGCCTCCATGGTTGGTTACTTGTCATTGTTCTCAGGGGAGTGGCTAAGGGATCAGTCCTCTGAGCTCCATGTGAATCCAGTTAGCAAGGATCTTGTAGATCCTTTGTCCTCATGTCCCTAGGTCTCAGAGTCAGTCCTGTGAGAAGATTTCCTGTGGCACAGAGCAGGGGCGTCTGGGAAACTCCTCCTTTGCACTTGTCAAAATGATTTGACGCCCACTTTGCAGAGCTCAGGGTGATGACATTTTTGTTGACAGCCCTTGTGCTGTACTGCCTCACCATTTGTCAGGTTGTTGTTGATGTAAAAACATCTTTGCAAGATGACTTGATACGGCATGTCGGTTACATGCGGTACAATCTTCATTCACAAATTTTTGGAGGCTCCACTGAGAAACAAAATGAAGATGTTGTGTGGACATGTGAGTGGCAGATACTGTAAACCACGTTCGCTTTTTCTGATATTCTCTGTGTAGCATAGGTGGGCCACCCCATTTTCTGCTGAGTATCCGAAGTCATGTTCCAGAGCAGGGTTGAAACTGAACTGACTGTGGTCATGTTCTGGAATAATCTGGCAGCCTGAAGTAGGGAAGCGGACACACTTGGGTCTTCTAAAGAAAGGATGGCCTTTGTCCTTTAGTATCCTCCAGGCTCCTTCATGTTTCCGGGACCCTCCACCCACTGCTCCAGGAGCGGGTGCCCACCGTGTGGCTCGCTCAAGCACTACCTGTACCATCTGCAGCTTCTTTCCCTAGTGGCTTGGAGTTTTCAGGTTAGAGCCATTTCTGCCCGGTGATTATCTGGTGGTATCTTTGTCCCATCTCTGGAATATTTGTGAGCAGAGCTGTCTATTTTATTCATGGCTATATTCCCATGCCTGCCACCTGGAAAATGATGAGTGAGCTTTTCTGGAGGGACTCCATGAACCAGTATAGATGCGAGATGGTGGATCTGGTATGTTCTCGGTTTTACTCTTAGGTTACAGGTAGAGGTGTGCGTTGGCCATGTTGTCTTGTGACTGAATTGTGCTTCGGTGTGATGCTGTTCTTAGGCTTAGAATAGTCGGAGAAGGATCCGCGTGACCTGTTGCAGCTGATGGCAGGGACCCGATGCCATCAACTATGACATTTTTCAGTGACTTCTGTGTGGGGACTCTAGAGAGGAATGCTTTCATGCTGCATTGTTAGACAATGTTAAGCTTTCCCTAAATGTTATATATATTTATGTTTTCCTATTCAGTTTGTGCTGTGTATTTTTGAAAAGCTTCCTCAATTTTTCGGTGGATTCAAGAGGCCTAAGTAAATGAAACATGGCGTTAATACTCTAGTTTTGTATGTGATGAAAATCATCCTTTCCATAAATGACTTCCACTTCCCTTGCACTTCAGCACCCTGCTATGTTGGCTTCGGGGAGTTCTTTCTAAGAAGGGAATTGTGGGTAGGTGTTAGAGTGCAGACGTGAAGCCACCATTGAGGCTTTCCTGTCCTGTGGTGGAATGCCGGTTTGAGTCACAGCTTTTTTGCTTCTGATTCAACCTCCTGATGTTGCACTGTAGAGCACAGCAGCTGATGGCTCAGAGGGTTGGGTCCTTATAACCATGTGGGAGCCCCGGCTTTGGCTGGCATTTAGGGAGTGAACCAGCAGAGGGAAGATTCCTTCTCTTTCTCGCTCTGTGTTTCAGGCAGATGAAAACAGAATTTTTAATGGAATTTCTGTTCGGACGGTTATATATTGCTATACTGCCATTTTTTTTTCTTACTGTAATATTTAATCCTCCCCACGCTTCCACTCAAATTGATCTTCTGTTGCACTCCCCTGTGCCACACACACACACACACACACACACACACACACACACACGCACGCACACATACACCAATACCACCTACATCACTGTCTCCTAGAGAGTGGCCTTTCCTCATAACTTTGTATAAGGAAACCCACGTCAGCGTGTGAAATAATCACACATTTTTGTGTCTTGCAAAATACTTCCTGGAAATTTTAATTATGTTTCCTTTTAGCTTTCCAGTTGTGTCTTCCTTTCTATGACCAGAGATTCCTTCGGTACCTCTGCATGACTGTGCCCTGACTGAGGGTTAGCGCAGTTCAGTGTGTAGCCCAGGCATGCGTATAGCATCTCTTGGCTTAGTTTGCTTAGTTTAGTTTGGGATTTCCCTGGGTAAGTTTTCACAGTGACCTCATAGATCTGCTTCCTGACCTCCCTTTGGAACGGGCAGGTTACAGATTCCCACCGTGAACATGAACCAAGATTTCATGTTCTGGACATGTAATGCCTCAGCCCATTGGAGATCTGTAACTCGCAGTGACCGTGTTCAGGGCTAAGAAAGTAGATGTAGAACTTCAGACAAACAAAACCATACAACGAGCAGGTGACTTCGCTGAGGGGGAAATGGAGACTTTTTAACTCTCTAAGCTTTTCATTTTATAAAGATGCAAGAAGCACAGAGCTCATCCGAATAACCGACGTTAGAACCAAGGCTGAAGTTGTTCCCTGGGGAGAGGACATTTCTTCTGTCCGTTCACATCAGATGTCCATGTTCCGTGTGACAGTGCCTGACTTCAATTCCCAATACCGGGTCTGGACTTCTGCATCCTATGAACACAGACCCTGGAAGGCACTGGTGATGACTTCAGTGGTTGGTCCCTCCCTCCCACCCACATGGGAGGCCTTGGTTGAGTTACTGGTGCCCAGCTTTTGCTCCTACCCAGCCCTAACTGTTATGGGCGTTTGGAAAGCAAACCAGAAGATGGGAGCTCTTTCTATCTTCACTTCAGTCTCCAATAAGTTTAAAACAAAAAAAGAAAAATAGTTGATGTCTGGACTTTCTCATTGTAAGAAGCTGTGGTCCCCAAATGAGGCAGTAGTGAAGAAGCATGGATATGGGAGGAGTGGAAGGGAGGGCAAGGGACGGAGGAGAGATGGGAGATGCTGATGCGACAGCCACACACGTCTAAGGGCCCAGCAAACAGATAACATTCCTCTGTCTGCTATGGCAGAGACGTCGGGAAAACTGAAGACAAACATGAACTTGGAGATTTCGTGCCGGGTGGTCTCTGGCTTCCTCTCTCATTCTCGGATGGCTTGCAGGTCTGGCTGGGCTCCAGCTTGCAGACAGGACCATAAACATTTATAAGCCCATAGTCCTTCATAACCAGGCTACTCTTACCATAGATTATACAGCTTTACATTGCACTAGCAACAAAGGGAATAAAATTAGCATTGTTTATGACTCTGACCCGGTGTAAGTTATTACAAGCTCCAGGTTTATCACTTATTGAGAAACTCAATTAATTAATGTGGTAACACTTAAAATATTTTCTTCTCATGTGTTGTGGGAAATGACTTCACTTGATTTAAGAATGAAAAGGAAACTGGAAGAATGAGATCTAAGCTAAGGCTGTAGATCAGACGAGGAGGCTCAGGGTTTGTGTCTCTGTACAAATGCCAATTTTTGGTGGGTTAAGACATGGATACAAACGCATGGGTGATGTGGTCATCTTGGAATGCACACTGATTCAAGAATTAACTGCATTGATTTATGATCTGTATATTGAGGACATACGTATCACCAAACACAGGAGGTTGTTTGCATGGCAAGGGATGTGACCTCTGCTCAGAGAGACAGGTTCTAGAAGAGAAGGCTTACCCTGATATAGAGGTGTAGTCCCTTGTGAAACACGTGACAGAGAGGAGCACAGATCCCAAAGGGAAGTGAGTCCCCTGAGGCCCTAAGGGGACCAGCCTCATGGGAAGGAGCTTCCAGGGAGTCTGGGTGGTTGCCAAGGATCGTATTTAATCTGAAATCTGAATAGATGAAGATTGCAGAAAAGGCTTTCTGGTCAGAGGGAATGGACTGTTTGAGATTCGGAGGATCAGAGCATGGTGCCCGGAGGTATAGATCAGGGCAAAATGGTCATCAAAGTCTGGAGAAGCAGAAAGCTATAGTTATATGCCAGGGGGGCTCCCCACAATGCCTGGCCCCAAGGCTGCAGGTGCCTGCTGTGGTCACATTTGCTCTTAGCTGGTGTCTTACCATCCTTGGCGTTTCCTTCTTACTAGTGGTTATGGTTCCTTGCTGGAATTGTCTTAAAATGGTATGATCCCACTCTGCTGGGAGACTCAAAAGCCCAGGGTTAGAAAACACCTAGGAGGTGATTGAAAGGGGCGGAATGCTGAATCAGAGGAGTCCTGACCAGTGACGGTATGCTTCTCATCAATGCGCATGCTAAAGGTGGAGGGTGTCTCTTGTAATATGTTGAAAGTGAGCAAGGTGGGAGAGCAGCTCTGTGTTGCCTTTGGAGCCACTGGGTCTTCAGTGGTTTCCTAGAGAAGCCATTAGCTTGTATCTAGAGATCCATTGTCGCTCAGGCCACCAACACAAAAGAATCCAACTGTCGCCTGTTAAGTCAGATAAATGATTGCCACTGCTCGCAGAATCGTTACCTTTGGCTTTGTAAGATCTAATAAAGAGCCACTCTTCATGGAAGTATTTTATCACTGTTTACCTTTTTAATAATCTGACGTATGTATTTTTAAGAAAATGCTCAAATTCTTTTCTCTTATGAGTGGACACTGGTAGCTGTTGCCCATATCCATGAGATCTCTTTGAGTTTCCCAAATAATTGTTAGAGTTCATAAACCAGGAAGCCTGAGAGATACTGGGTTACGCCAATTTTCACTCGCTGGGTTACTGAGACCGAAACTATAGAGTTTGTTGCTATTGGAAAAGTTTCCAACCACCAGTTTCTCCCAGCACAGTTAGAATTGGAACCCCCTTTTTTGGAAAGGGCAAGGCACGCTGAGTTAGATTATTGTAGCCTGCAAGAAGTGCCAATGTTGATTGTTGTCTGCCCCAAGGTCCCTTCTCTTCCCATCTGTCTGAGCACCTGCAGAACCTTGGGTAGGAACCCCGCTGCAAGCTGTCTGTTTAGAGCCACTCACTGCCCCGGAAGGCTGAGGCTGTGGTCAGTTGTGGCCCTGCGCAACAGTGGACAGTGCTGTTGGCCAGACCTCTCCTGGTGCCGCAGCCAACTGTGATGGAGGCTGCGCTACAATAGGCCTGTATGCCCTTGCTCTGAAACTCAGGAATTCGCAGAGACCAGGGGGGAGGAATGGGGAGTCAGGCATAGCTCAGGGCTTCTTGCTAAGACAGAACAAAGCAGGGAAATGCTTGCCTCGGAGCTTTAGTGAGGACGCGTGCCTCCACTTGACGCAAAACACTTTTCTCATCCAAAGTGCAATTTATTTTGAACACCTATAGCACCTATAGCATTGCGCTACCCCAGTGGGTCTCTGTAGCATGTATGTAAGTCGAGGCTAGCATTCCTTGAAATCCAGAGTCCAAGGAGAGGAAAAGAATGATGGATTAAAGACATTTTCCACAGAGCCTTGAGCATGCCCTGAGGGTGGCTGAAAATGCAAGGACGTGACACACGGGGGCCTTTTAAAACTGCATTACTTCTTGATACTTTGGAAATTGCTTTTTCAGGCTTAAGCTCAGCTTGTAAATCCCCCCCGAAGAGAAAAGTTGAAGATGATAAAGATCATCTGTCTCTCTCTCTCTCCTTTGCTCTCCCCTCCCCTCCCCTCCTTTCTCTCTCTCTCTCTCCTTATTCTGGAGTGGAGCAGCAGGGACCTGGGGAGGGAGAGGAACCCAGCAAGATCAGATGCAATGGTAACTTGAAAGGTGCTGTTGACTACTGCGTTTCACTTCAGCAAGTGAGAGTGTGACATCAGGGTTATTCCTTTCATGGGGAAAAAAATCCCTTTCAGCTCACTGTGAGGGCAGACAGGGCGACCTAGAGTCCTGCTGGAGGTCCAGCCCAGGCAGGGCAGCACCAGTGAATGGGGTGAACAGGTGTTGGGCAGCTGAAGGGGAGTAGGCGTATTTCCATTTCAAGCTCTCTTCCCAGCTTCTCCTTCCCTCCTCCCGGCCTCCCAGCTCATGCCTTGCCATGTAGGTAGACCAAGCCACTGTGTGTGCAGATGTGGCTGTCAGGCAAATCCACCAGACTGTCCTGCCTCCCGGCCCAGCTGCCACCTGTGGGACCTTCCCCATGTGGATGCACCACTGTGTGCGTCCCAGCGAGTTCTCGAGGTCAAGGACGCCCTGCGGTGCAGGCTGCTTGCACGCATTGTGAAATCTCTGCACAACCCCCGCCCCCCACCGTGCGTGAACGCTGCCTGCTTGCCCTGAAGGGACCCCACGCAGGTGGGCACTGTGGGCATCGACGGCAGGCCAGGTGCACAGGGAACCGGCACTGCAGCAGGTGCTCAGCGAGCGCCTCCCGTCTCTTCATCTCCCCGCTAATCTAGCTGTGCCTGCTTTTGCAGAACCGTGTCATAGGTTCATCTTTGCTCTCCTTGCAGGAGAGATTTCACGAAGCTGAAGATGTCTACCAGGCTGGGATCAAGAACTGCCCGGACAGCTCAGACCTGCACAATAACTACGGCGTGTTCCTGGTGGATTCCGGTAAGAGACACCGCAGGGAGCAGGTGCCTGGTGCGTGAACAGCTGGCCGCACCTGCCAAGCAAGTGAGGTTCCTCCCCCTGCTGGCCGTCACCACGCACCCAGAGGCTGTCCTGAAGCTGAATCTCTTGCAGTTGGGTCTCCCCCACAGGTGGTGGGCCTGCTGAAGTCCCGAGTCCCAGTCCTGTTCAGGTTGTGCATGTTTGTAAGTCTCTCATGATGCGATCTTCTCCTGAGCTGATGCACAGCCTGCCTGTGAGTGATCCAAAGCCTGGAAACACTGTCCAAGCATTGCATGGTACCTTCATGAGCATCGCAGAAAGTGCACGTTGCCACGTTGCCTTTGCAGATCGCACTTGCTTTATCGTATTCAATGCAGGGATTCTAATTTCTTCATGACTTGTGCCCAGCCCTGTTGGTGAGAAGGAATAAAAAGGCTTATGAATTTAATACAAAAGCAACATTCACTGACTATAAGAGTAGCTTCCATGCAGTAACATTCAACTTCAGTTATTTTTGTCACTAGAAAATGCTTGGGAGGGTTTTTATTTTGCTTCTGTTTTGTAGAATGTGAATTTATAGTCTGTTGCACCCACGGAGCCTTAAGCCATGTTTGTGTGTAAAGTTATTCTGCAGCGCCACCTGCTGGTTCATTAGCCACATAGTAGGTTAAATACAGCAGATTGGCAAAACCAATGGGTTCTTGCTGGCCAAATCCAACCTTCTTCCTTTTACTTAAGCAATCGATGTTATCATCTCACACACTTAAAAATAATAACAGCAACTTCTTACGGGGGGGGGCGCTGTTCTTCTATTTGGTGGTTCACTCCTCCAAACAGCCACAGCAGCCAGAGCTGGACAGATGACGCCAGAACCCTGGAACTGCAGGGGCCCACATGCTTGGGACATCTGCTGCTGCTTTCCCAGTCGCTAAAACAGGAGGCTGGATCAAAGGTGAAGCAGCCAGGTCTTAAAGTTTATGTGGGGTACCGGTGTCACAGGCAGTGGCTGAGTCACAACGCTGACCCCCGCAAGTGTGGAATTGTAAAATGCACTTTAAAGATCCCACTGATGTCGACTTGGGGATGCCAAAATGTCAGTGACTGTGCAGCGAGCAGTAAGCCGGGCCTTGCACACCACTCTGCAGTGCTGAGCTTTCCGGGCTCCCCTGTCCTGCCGTGGTTTGGTGAGGGGGGGCTTAGAGAAATAACGACCCCCCCCCCCCCGTGATCTCCAGATGGCTCAGGCATCAGGACAGTCGCCACAAAATACTTGGACTCGAAATAATATAACTTGTAAGAGAGCTGTGTTTTGGTGCCTTAGTGCTCTGCTGCTAGAGTCTCCGGAAGCGTGACGGAATAGTGACGTGGTCTGGGGTGTGGCAGTGATGCACATCGGACCTGGGATGCGAGCTCTGTCTCGGGCTGAGTACCTAATAGCATGACTGTAATATCGGGGATAGGGGATAGGTGTCAGAGCAAAACTGGAGAGCTTGTGTAGCTTAGAAGGCTTGCTCTGTTCTCTCCCCCTCTGCCCCCGGCCCTGTCTCAGGCTCTCCGGAAAAGGCCGTAGCCCACTACCAGGAGGCAATCAAACTCAGCCCAAGTCATCACGTGGCCATGGTGAACCTGGGCCGCCTCTACAGGTCCCTGGGCGAGAACAGCATGGCGGAAGACTGGTACAAACGGTAAAAAGATGCTCTGCTCACTCCCTGAGCTGCTTTGTGGCTGTCTGTGCCTCGTGTGCCTCCACAGCACTGGTCACGTTTGCCCCCAAGGGGCAGCCCACGATGGTGGAAGTGGTTGTCTCGGTTAGGGATGGGGTGCGGAACCGTGGCTGGAATGTAGTTGTCACTTTCGTTAGTCCTTTGTCTGGGAAAGCTATGAACTGCCGCCCATGCCACAAACCATGGGCACACATGAAAAGGATCAGAATGTGGCAGTCTGACTCCATGAATAGGAATGCCTCTAGTTCGTTCTCTTCGCTGCTGGGTCTCCTGACCAAGTCCCTTGTTCTGTGCCGGCACCTGATCATTTTTAAAACTTCAGTCTTGACCTAAAAACTTGAAGCTGAGATAAATCAGTGGGCAAGTGCTGTCCAGTCTGAGCGTGGCAATAATACAGACGTGCCTGCAGGAAGGCGTGTAAGTGTCCACTCACCCTCCTGTGCCCTCAGCGCCCTGCAGGTGGCACGCAAAGCCGAGATCCTGTCCCCTCTGGGAGCGCTGTATTACAACACCGGCCGCTACGAGGAGGCTCTGCAGGTTTATGGGGAAGCTGCAGCCCTTCAGCCTGCTCAGAGGGAACTGCGCCTGGCACTGGTGAGTTCAATGGCAGTGGAAGCCTGCAGAATAGGCAGTGCTCCAGGAGGCAGCCCTGGTGCAGGAGCATCCACGGTGTGCATAGATGCCTGCGGCCAACGTCACTTCATTCATACGTACAAACTACACTTGAAATGCTCTTTTTTGGGAAATGATTTCAAACTCAGGGAGAAGTTGCCAGACGACGGGTAAACTCCAGTATGCCCTCTCACAGGTGATGAGACATTTATCACTGCCCCCAGAGAGTGCACGTTTAGCTAGGTCTAAATGCATATGCCTGTTCTCAGTAAGTTATTTTTCTCCTGAACCATATTGGAGTTACAGATCTCACGTCCCTTGTTTTGTTTTTTTTCCCCCTGAATACAGCTACATATATGAGAACACTTTTAAAAACACTTGTGGAAAAAGATTAATTTTTTTAAGAAGTTTGTTTGGGCTCAAAAACTTTTCAGATCCATGCATTTGAGAAGTCTGTGGCGAGGCAGATGGGCATCGTGTCTCAGCAGGTTAAGCTGCAGTTCGGAATGGGCACTGCTTCAAGCCCCTGCTGGTCCAGCTTCCTGCGGATGCCCCTGGGAGTGAGCACGTGTTGGCTTGTTCTCATGTGCATGGGGCCCTGGCACCCGCATGGGAGACCCTGATGAGCTCTGCTTCCGACCTTTGTTCCAGCCCAGCCCTAGCCCTGGCTGTCGTAGCTGTATGGGGAGTGAACCAATAGGTGACAAATAAACCCCCCGTTGTCCTGCGCCCTCTCTCTGTCACGCTTCCTTTCAAATAAATGAATACATCTCTTGTTTTAAGTTCATAGAAAATGCATATTATGGAGACGTTTATGGATTTCAATTTTCATTGCACTAAAAGTAGCTTATTTTTAATTCCATTTTCTATAGACTTACTGAAGTTTCTAAGCATGAGGACATGTTTGTCATCCCTGCAATACAGTTTGCAAATGCAGGAAGATTTGTAACCCTGTTTGCAATATGCTGGTGTTTCCGCCTTCACGCCGCCTCTTCCTTAGATGCACAAGCTTGTGATCTTGTTGCAGACAGCGTAGCACTTACTCATCTGATATTCTGAGTCGAGCTCCTCTTAGAAAAGGCATGGCGTCCCACTGGATGTCCGTGGCGTTCCTGCCATTCACACATAAACGCATGCATTTCCTTCAGTGAGAAAACAGACAGTGAGAAATCGAACCCTAATCACTTCTCAGCTTTTTGGCTTAGATCCAGTGTGAGAAGTCTAACCCGTGAGCCGTGGTCATGCAGACTCCGCTGTGAGCCACTGCCTGGAGGCTGAGTCTCCTTGCTGGGAGCATTCGCTGAGCACCCCCTTGCAGGAGCTGGTCGGACGAGGTGCTGTCCGACTATTTACTGAGCCCATGTCCATGTGGTTTTGCAGGCACAGGTCTTGGCCGTGATGGGTCAGACCAGGGAAGCTGAAAAGATGACCACTCACATCGTGGAAGAGGACAAGGAATGCCTGGAATGCTATCGCCTCCTATCCGCCATCTACAGCAAGCAGGAGCGCCACGCCCAGGTAGGGAAGTCCCTGCTGGCTGGGATGACATCCATGGGTCATGGTACATTCCTGCTGCGTTCAGTGTCAACTTCTTTTGTAATAGCCCCACAGCCTGTCTGCAGCCAGCTGTATACCAATGTGCTTCATTGTTTTTCATCTTCCTTTCTAACCCCCGAGGAGTCTCCAGAAAATTTCTAAAAACTAAATATTATAAAAAAAAAAAAGTTATACATGGATTGCACGGTTTGCATGTCACCAAAGTCGTCACGTCCACTTCGCATGAACTTCTTGAAGCAGTCCCTGTATCATTCCAGGTGGTCCTGATAACACCTCTTCAGGGCACCTCAGTGACCCCGATAGGCACCTGTTAGCATTCGGGACAGTCACCTGATTTATCAGTTCACGACCGACCTCCCATTGTTGGGAGGAGTAAGGTGACATTAAAAGAAAGAAGTGACCGCCCTTGTGGTTTGGAGCTCACAGTACAAGGCGACAATGAACTGCACCAGAAATCACAAAACAAATGTATATTTATATAAACAATAAATATATATCCATACCCAGTTTGTGACTGATCCGAGAACATGTGATCAGGGAACCTGCACTGCCTGGGAAGGTCAAGTTGCCCAGTGAAGTGAGGGAGGTCCAACTTGTATGATGAATAGAGTTACTAGGCAAAGGGACGGCCAAGAAGGTTTCATGCAACAGGAATGGCAGGTGCAAAGGCCCCGTGGCAGCAGGGAGAGCCAATGGGACATAAAGATGAGGGCACAGGACAGTGTGAGGTGCATCTGGGGGGCTTGGCCCCCACAGGGCTTGGGGCCACACCAAGAGTTTTCCTTCCTCTCCTGGGAGAAGATGAGGAGTTTGAAGAGAGCAGGGGCCAGTGTGCTGTGTGCCTGGAGGGAGCTCTCTGGCTGTGCGGGGGAGGGGACACCATGGGGCCAGTGGATTGGCAGAACTCCATCCCGTCACCTGAGTGGCTTCTCCTTTACCTGCGTGGGTGAGAGCATCCCAGCAGGTGTTTGGGAACTTGTGCTCAGCGCCAGGAAGGCTACGATGACGAAGATGCAAGAATGCAGAGTTTTGCTGAGAATGTTGAAAAGACAGCAGACAGGATGGGAGGTGGCTCAGTGGTTCCCTGATCCGACAGCTGCCCCACAGGCTGAGCAGAGCTCCAGAGACTCGCTGGAGGCACTCTGGATCCTGGCCTCGCCTACCCCTGTCCCTCACGCATGTCTGCTCTCTGCAGGCCCTGGACGCCATTGACAAGGCGCTGCAGCTGCAACCCCAGGACCCCCATGTCGTCTCTGAGCTCTTCTTCACCAAGGGCAACCAGCTGCGGGAGCAGAACCTGCTGGACAAAGCGTTTGAGGTAACGACACTTGATGGCGTGACATTCAGGGGCTGAAGGGAAAAGCCTGCTGGTGTTGGTGAGGAGCTTGGGCGAGGCCCAGGCGTGTTACAAACGCTACAAGAGTTGCTGTTCTGAGCGCTTGACATCCTCTTAGGCGCTCATTCCTCCTCTGGCTTTTCATGATCCAGGAGGACGCTGTATTTCTGCATAATCGTCTAGCTTATCAGCTTGCACGAGACACTCAGAGCATTTTGCCTGAAACTGCCTTTTCTTTCCTTCTCCCTGTTTGCTGTGATTAGGGGGCCTCGTGTAGGTCAGTTTGGATCTCTTCCACAGGTGCTTCACCCCCCCACCACCACCACCACCAGCAGCTTCTCTCTGATTCCTTCATCCCTGTTCCAGATTCCGAAAGCTCTTCCTGTCTCCAGTAGGAGTGTCCGGGTTGCTAGGTCTCTGCTCCCTCCCCTCCCTTTACCTCGTCTCCCCTCACCTCTGCCTTCATTGCCACCTCCCTGCTGCTGTCGTCTGCTTTAAAGCAGCGTCTCGCGCCTTATCAATGACCGTTATCCACAGCTTTCAATGCGATCACGCACAATTTGAAATCAAGCAGCCATCTACAAAAACACAGAGAGGAATTTTACAGAAAGGCCATGCTTTATCCTTGGGAGCTGCTGGTGCCCCCCGTTGGAATTTACAGAGTTCCAAAATCATACCAAATATCCATGTGGGAAAAGTAAAATCTCGAGTGCCAGAATTGTGCTGAAAAAGCACACCGTGTCAAATAACATTGGAAACCCCGTGTTGGGAAGCCTCACCTAGATGTTGGACAGACTGCTTTGAGTGGGAACCCGCAGAGCGACGGCCGACGGGGTTGCATCTTCTGCGGGCATTGTGAGAGTACATCTCACAGTGAGACCTTGTGCGTGTCTCTACCTTGTCAGGAGTAACTCTGTGCCCTTTTCAGTTACGTAACTTCAATAAACACCCATAATCTAATCAGGAACATTTACATTGTATCCTTAAATGCCTAGGTCTTAATATCTTACACTGGAAACAAAAGATTTTTTCAGTAGCTAGACCGTGGATGAAATAACCCTCTACTGAGTAGCTGGATTTAGAAAGATTAGGAGGCAGGGCCTGGCTGATGGGTGTGGCTGTGCGCTGTTAGCATTCCTGGATGTGAAGTAGATAACAAATAACTAATCTATTTTTCAGAGCAGTCGGGTGGAAAGAGCCTGGTCATCGTCCTTGGCCTTTTTTTTTAAAAAAAAGATTTATTGATTTTTATTGGAAAGGCAGATTCATACAGAGAAGGGCAAGACCAAAGATCTTCTGTCCACAGGTTCACTCCCCAAGTGACCACTGTGGCTGGAGCCGAGCTGATCTTAAGCCAGGAGCTTCCTCCAGGTCTCCCGTTTGGGTGGGGCTGGGTCCCAAGACTTTGGAATGTCCTCTGATGCTGTCCCAGGCCACAAGCATGGAGTTAGATGGGAAGTGCAGCATCCGGGACATGAAGAATCAGCATCCATAAGGGATTTCAGTGCCCGTAAGGCAAGGATGTAGCCGCTGAGCCATCGTGCCGGGCCCCATTGTCCTTGTTTTATACCTGTATAATCTGAGACTCAGAGGCGTGGTATGGGTCAAAGTCACACAGACCTTTAGAAGTGGAATCAGGAGTTGATTCTAGCTCTTGGAAAGCCGCCTGATTGCTGACCGTTTGCTGCTTTTTCTCTACAATTCAAAGGCAAACATGGACACAGTTTTATTGGTGGATCTATTGACTTTATACTTGCTAATGAAATAGCAAGGAATGGGCCTGGCACGGTAGCCTAGCAGCTAACGTCCTCACCTTCAACACCCCTAGATCCCATATGGGCACCAGTTCCTGTCCCAGAGGCCCCACTTCCCATCCAGCTCCCTGCTTGTGGCCTGGGAAAGCAGTTGAGGATATGGCACAAAGCCTTGGAACCCTGCACCTGCATGGGAGACCTGGAGGAGGTTCCGGGCTCCTAGCTTCGGATTGGCTTCGTTCCGGCCATTGCAGCGCTTGGGGAGTGAGTCATCGGACAGAAGATCTTCCTCTCCTGTTCTCTGTCTATGTGAATTTCCCATAAAAATAATGTAGAAAAATAGCAAGGAGCATGATGTGATGTGTGCAGATGGTTAGCTTTGCTTGCAAAGGCCTTCCTCCCAGCCTTCGACTTTCTGATATGCTTGATGCAAAGCAGTATTTGCAATTTTAAGAACAGACTTCATGGACATTACATTTATTAGGATATTGTGTATTCCTGAGATCATCATATTTACCTGAGAGATAAGGAGCTCTCTCAAACATTGGGAGACCCCGTCTGTAAGAAAAACAAGAGTTCGTAAAGATTTAAAACTCTAGTGAAATCGATAGGTTTGAAGAAATATCCAGCATGGTGTCCAAGAACTGAAGCATAGGCTGGCCTTGCCAAGTCCATGATCATTGTGAACGGGGTTAAGCTCTTTAGCAAAGTTCCCTACGATTCTGGGAATGGAAACCACATCATAGAAGACCACTTGGATTCCCTGCAGGCAAGGTTCACTTGGTAGGGAAGAGACTCAAATCCACTTCCTCCCCTTTTCGAATCTTCACGTTTAGAAAATAAGAAACGAACGGAGCGTCTACTAGGAAGCAGGAGCAGCTGGTTTCGTGGTGTGTATCAAGTATTTGCATTTTCACAGAGTAAATAAACAGTATGTGCCCTGCGGGGATATTAAAGCCAGTTTCTGGCTCCCTAACCGGAAGCTGTTTCTTGCCCGTTTAGAGCTATAAAGCTGCGGTGGAATTGAATCCAGATCAAGCACAGGCCTGGATGAACATGGGCGGGATCCAGCACATCCAGGTAGGACTCGTGCTCACTGCCCGTGGGTTTGCTCCTCCCGTCTGTCTTCACCCTGAAAGGACGGAGAAGCCCTCAGTCCCCTTTGTAATGCCTTGGGTGCTACAAGCATAGGTTCTCATCATCCTGTGTTCCATCGTTGTTGAATATGGTGAAACCATTGGACAGTGTGTCCAGGGATGCGCAGCGAACCTCAAGCTGAACAAGTCCGCAACCACATCCGAATTCCTGAGTTGGGTTCCTGGCTTGAGCCCCTGTCTCCAGTTTCCTGATAATGTACTCCCTGGGTTCCCGCAACCCCCTGCATGGAGTGTTTGGTTGCAGGAGGTTCCAGTCCTGACTCAGCCCTCCCCCTGCGTTGAGGACATCCGAGAAGTGCACCAGCAGGGGAAGGCTTGCTCTGTTTTGTCTATGTGCATGCCTCCGTGTGTGTGTGTGTAAGAAATGAATGTTTAAGTAAATCCGTGTAAGTCAGAGTCCGTGATTTTATTAATCGTAGAGAACATCACCTACGGTCAAGGGAAATGCTGGCAGACACAGTGTGTTTAGTGAACTGAATCCTTGTTGAAATGCAGCGTGGCTTATTTTCTTTGCGACTCGCTGTCAAAACTAAATCTGGCTTCACTTTAAAACTTCAGTTTAAGGAGGAACATGGAGCATTTCAGCATCTACATGTACTGTAATTTTCTTCGGTATCTGTGGGGCATAGTTCCAGGACCCCCCCAAGAATCCCACCAGAGATGCCTGAGTCCGTTATATAAGACTGCACAGGATTTGCATTTAACCCATGCAGGCCTCTCCTATCCTTTAACTCATCTGTGGATTACTCATAACACCCAATGCAGTGTAGATGCCGTGGACCTGGCTGTCGCACTCCATGTGTAGACAGTATTTTATAATGAACAGTGACAAGAAATGTCTGAGCATGTGCAGGCCAGATGCAGGTTTGTTTTGTGTTAGAGTTTCTGCTCTGTGGTTGATCTGAATCCCTGGGCATAGAGTTTGTATGTCTGGAGGGATGTCTCTATTAATCTCTTATTTCTATGTTCCCTAACCTTTTACAAAGAAAGAAGCATGTTTGGTCCTTTATTCAAAAATAAAAAAAATGAAACAAAATAGAAAAGTTACCTGAGGATTCAGCGTGGCTGTTGGTTGGACCACCCTCTGTATCCAAGGCACCCAGAGACTCTGCAGGCAGCCTTTCACTCACCTGTCAAGCACTGATGGGGAGCGTGCTGTGTGCAAGGTCTGCTTCCAAGCCCTGGACCACAGCCATGACCAAACGCGATCAGCATCCCTGTCCTCACGGAGCTAACAGTTGATTTGTGATAAGTGAATGCACACTCCCTCATGTATGCATATATGCATACGTACAGGGAACATACCAGCTGCTGATCGGGGCTTTAAAGGGGAAAAAGGGAAGAAAATTAGAGTACCAAGGAGTGGAGCTAAAATTTGAAATGAAGGCACGTGTAGGAAGGCCTCAGTTGAAACATGCTCCGTGTGCAGAGACCTGGAAACAGCACACAGCAAGAACAGAGGAAAAGGCCCTGAAGTGTGCGTGGCCCTTCCGTGTTCCAGGAGCAGCGAGGATGCAGTGTGGCTGGGCAGAGCCAAGTGGAGCAGAGGCTCAAAGCTGAGGTCAGAGGCCACAGGAGCTGCGTGCACGGGGTCTTGGCAGAGCCTGGAGTCCAAACGTGTCGTGGTCCTTGGATGACCTTGAGCAGAGAAAGGGCGTGCTCTGGCCTGAGTTGAAGGTGTCTCTCTTCTCTAGCTGAGCTGCTTTCAAGCCTCTCTCTGTCTCTGCCCTCATCCCAGAGCAATGCCATGATTAGAATCTAAACAAAGACCTGGTGTGGCTTACAAGGACGTCAGGCCACCTGTCTCAAAAACCCATGCTAAGTGCAGGTGACTGAGGACCACGCACGTGGGACAGGACGTAGGGTGGGTATCCATGGCTCACAGCCTGGATGTAACAGATGGCAAGTATGGCATGGCACTTACCAGGGAAAATACCCCCAGCTATGATCTGGGGCATGGACTTAAGGGATCAGAACATAACTGTTCAAAACGAAAGCTTCTGGTTTAACCCGAGACAGAATGAATGGAGAGTGAGGAAATAAACCTAGGTTTCTCATCAGATAGACAAGCGGACACTGTAAGAAGTACGTGATACTCATCTGCAGCCCTGATGTGCCTCTGCGGGGGTGTCTGTCACACTAGTGAGAGCTCGTGTGTGTGAGCGCGTGACAAAACTGTTGACACCTACGAAGTCCCATGGAAGTTACACGTGCAGTGAACATTAGTTGCTATTTTCTATATGGTACTTTTGCTGCCAGAGAGAGAGAGTCTTAGGCAAAAGTTGCTTCAATATTTTCAGCTGAATCTTAAAGTAACTCATTATACTGATGGATAAAGATGCTGAACTGCCTAAATTAACTCTCTCTTCCCTTCTTCTCTGAGTTTGTCTCCCTCTGCTTCCTCTCGTGTCTTCTCTTCCTCTCCCCTCGGTCTCTGTGTGACAAACAGGAGTTTCTAGCCCTGGTTTCATTTGGTTATAAAGGCAAAAAAAAAACTTGTGAAAATACTGTGCCAGGTGGTCAGCCTCATGGCTCAGTAGAGTTGAAAAGTTGCATTCCTGCACTTTGCGCTTACTATGTAACATGCATTCTTCACCTGTGCTACTCAGGTCCTTGAAACCGAGGAGTCTCCACCAAGTACTAAGACAGAAGGAAGAACTCCGCAAGGAAACCCAGAGGCGGGGGCTTCCATAGGATCACGTGGGCAGAGTGGGTCTCTCTGCCCCCTTACCCGGAGTGTGCTGGATGTAAGAGTTCTCTTTCTCCCCGCAGGGAAGCTACGTATCCGCACGAGCTTATTACGAGAGAGCCCTGCAACTGGTTCCAGACAGCAAGCTGCTGAAGGAGAACCTGGCCAAGCTGGACCGTTTAGAGAAACGATTACAAGAGCTTCGAGACAAGGATCATACATAGCAGCAGCCAGGAGTAGCACTGTGCCTCCAGGAGAGGGGAAAAAAAAGTGAAAGAGGCTAGCTCTCTGGGCAGCAGGTGCGTGCCGTCTCCCGCCCAGGATGCCGGCAGAGGACATGAATCTCCAGGAAGGAAATTGGAAGGATCCAGCCACAGCTAAAAGGTTCTAGCCAGGAGAAAACCACGACAGGCTTGATGAGGGAATCATTGCTTGCTCTTACTTCAGAGTTCCCTGGAGGCTTCTAGGCTCTTGCAACGTGGAAATCGGCTTCCATTTCTTCGTTCGGACTTGCACGCCCCAGAAATACAGGAGCTTTGCAATGTAGTGAAGTAGGATGCGATGTTTTGAGGGGGAAGCACCCTCTGGGGGAAGCTGTGTGGGCAGCGCCCCCTAAGAGGCAGCCTGTGTGATTCTCCACAGTCAGGCATGGGTATCTAATAGCTTTTGCAGAACCTTCCAGAATAGGCAGGCAAAAAAAAAAAGCTATTGTTCATTGAGCTTTATCTAAATATCCTGCTAAGGATATTGCTAGAGTCCTACAGAGGAGGAAATTGATTTCTCTTCGAAGTGTATCCCGTAGTTTAATACAGCGTGAGGGGGCTGTAGGATTGAATGTGGATATCTTTATCCCTAGTGGAAAATCAAGGAGCTTGCACCCTACTTGTTCACAGAAAAGAAATGTTTTAAAATTATCTTAATTTTATTACAAGTATTACCGGAGTAGTGCTCCTACTCTCAGATTTCAAAAGTGCATTTAAAGTCTTTGATGTTCTTGTCTTCAAATATATTGTTATTTTGGTGAAGAAAAAGAAATAGTATATTCTATATTAAAGATATTAACTGAAAAAAAAGTCATACTGTATTGATGTTAAGAGTTCATGAGATTTTTATTTTTTTTCTGGAAAGTGTATTCAACCATCGAGAAATCTTGACAGTGCATCATGGAAGGCTTAGTGCAACGGCCGCTGGATGGAAGGGGACCGACTTGTCTTCCTCGGCGGACGACAGTTCCGAGTTTAGAACAGGAAGGACTGCCACCCAGAGTGACTGGTTGTGTATTTATAGTTTTGGGAATCTCATGAGGAAGGCTCCAAGAATCTAGATGGAAAAAAAAAAAGGCCTCATTGTATCCTTTAAATACTATGCATATTTTAAAGGGAAGGAAAGCAAAGTTGAATTCACGACATATTTTGAAGTGTTATTTATTGCGTAACTTAGGAAATCGCTAATATATGCCCACACATCTCCTTGTTCTGTCTGTAGTGCTTCCAGGTGATTCTGTAACGGTCTCAATGGAATGTATGGGAGAGTGAAGCTTTGCACAGCCCCTCAGCATTCTGCTGGGGCTGACTCACACGCTAACATTAGAGTAGTTAGGGACTGGCACCGAGTGTTCAGCTGAGATCCTTCGACGGTGAGGAAATTGGAACAGCCGATTCTAAGTTGGCGGGCAGCGTGTGCGGCTCCCCGTGCTGAGGCAGGTCTGCCCACGTAGAGTGGTTCAGGCACACGTGTTGTACCTGCCTGTCCCTAGAGTGAGAGAGAGAGGCCTCCTGTCTGGTTCGATCCAGCATCGGAAAGAACCAGTTGTATATGTGATTATTTTTGTTGTTCTGTTGAGATAAGTCTCAACAACCAGGAGAATTTCTTTGGGAATGATTGATGGGCCCAGTATTCTAAAGGCACATTGTTAGAAAATTGGCATTAGCACATGTGTTATTATATGTAACAGACACCCAGTAATGTATGTCTATTGCTCTTTCTGTTCCTAATGGCCTTTTAGGGTTATACAAGGGGAAATCAAAACTTTGCAGAAAATGAAATTGAAAAAGTTTGGTATAAAAAGGTTGTGAAATCCATACAAATTTTTTTATAACACGTTTCCCTTTAATTCTTTGAAGATCCTGGACATGCATAGTTTTCAAAGTTTTTACCCCTAAATACATTCATCTTTAAATCCCATGGTCCACAAACTTTCTGAAGTCCACTTGCATAGCATAAATGTATGAGAATTTAGTTTTCTCCCTGTCCCAACTAAAAAGGGTCCTGTGGACCTCAGGAGGTTTTCTGTCCTAGTCTCCCCTGTGCCCCTCTGGTCCCACCTTCATTTCTCTGTTTGCATGCACAGGCTTCTGATGGAACTTTAGCAGTAAGCAGTGTTTACTGGATCAGATATTTTTATCCTTCATTGGATTGTGGCCAATGAATGTTTAAGAAACATTTAAGGAAAAGAATCACAGGCTGATTTTTAAAGACGAGGTATTTCGCTATTTTGTATTTGATTATTGTCATGGGAAATAATGAGAGTAATTCATCCTCAAAGCAGCAGTTACTCTGGAGCACTCAGAGAGGGACACAGCTTGCCCTCCACGAAGGCATGCTTGGCATGTGAATTGATACATAGATCTTTCTGGAAAGGAAGAGCAGTGTGAACCTGCACATGCAATCCATGCTGTCCCAAAGTCCATATACTTGGAGGCATCCCACACTTGGTTGAATGCGGTGCTTCAAGTTCCCAGTGGTTTGGGAAGATAAAATCCTGTGATTTAATGTTGCACCAGTTGCTAGAATTAGGGAGCAGCTACTGGATGGCAAAAGACAAATGGCCAAGGAAAAGAAAGGGGTGGCTTTGGTTGGCCAAGACTTAAGGACAAGTTTGCTTTGTGAATAGGACCAGTGTTTACCAGTGTTGTCTCCACTGCATGTAGAGTTCCCATATGCATATTTTACACCTTTTCTGTCTAGTCTGTGCCCCTGTGCTTGATGGTCGGTTCCCCTCGCTTACATGGCCCGAAAGTGATGGTCCCTTGATGTCCTTGGACACAGAGGCCACCAAAATGGCTTTAGCAGCATCTGTTTACCTTGCCATATCACTGTCTGCGATGTCGCCAGTTGATGAGTGGAGTTCACAGACCTGAAAGGTGATATAATGCATGTGAACTAAACCAAAGATGAAGTACCTCGGAGGAACGGAAACTGGAGGGACTCCTGAGGCAGACCCTCGAAGGGCTGTGTATTCTGAAGCACATCACAAACCCGAGAGGACTATCCACCCTTGGATTCCATCTCCCTGTGGAACTTCTTAACCCTTACCCTGAGATGCTAGAGTTAGTGGTAGGTACTACCTGGAGCTGGGCAGGGTTTTGCGATGAGTTCACGGATGCTCCGTGCAAACAGTTTCTCCTAGTCCCACAGTAACTTTCACTGGGAGGAGAATAAGGAGCCAGCGTGGCTGGTTGTCTCAGGCATTGGTGGATGATCCTGACTGGGCTGAGAGTCGAGGTCTGCCCCCAGCCCTCAACACACACAGCGACTCGATGCTGGTTGCTCTTTAGAGCCGCTTGGGGACCTTTCCAAGTCCTAGACACCTGTCTGTCTGGATGTCAGTACTGATGGGCAGTAAAGCTACAGAACCACGCAAGGCTGACCACTTTCATGGGAATCTATTTACAAGCAAGAGGCATTTATCATCTTTGAAGAAATTTGCTTTTAAATCCAACCCAAAATGAACCAAAAAATCACACTAAAGAATTCCTGAGAACCCACTGGAGGGTGTCATTCTAAGGTTGACAGGCAAGTGACTGGCTTTGTCTTTGAATCAGCAGGCCTAGCACTTGGCCTTAATTTTGCAGACTTAGATCTCAGATGGAGAAAGTCGCCTTGCTGTTTGCTTACACCAGACACATTGCCCTTTATATCCGACTGATGCTTTTCTGTTCATGGCATCAAATGTATGCCCGCATCTCTGGCTCTTTCAAGTACATAGCAGGTGAATCTATCATTGATGGATTTTCTTATTTTTATTTATTAGAATCTTTTTGAAAAAACAAAAATATTTTAGTTTATGGATTCCTTGGAATGAATAAAAACAGCAAAAGTATTAGAAGAAACATTCAAAGCAAATATGATTACAGGTAGTTTGCTTTTAGTTGAGTGTTCCTGGCTTGCTTATCACATTTATCAACCAGTAACATGTTGATACCTTCCAATGTAGCAACTTGTAACTATCTAAAGGACATGTTTTTAACCTTAAGACCAAAAATAATCTACTGTGTTTATGCTGCACTTGAAAAATGTAAAAGCATAAATACCAAAAAGTAGTTTAGGGAAATATATCTGTTTTATGGTTATTCTTCAAGTTTTGGTTGCTAAAGAAAAATATGTTAAATAATTTAAAAATCTAATCTGATGACTTTGTTTTTAGTAGCCAGTGTCACTTCTAGAGGAAATTATGTGCAATGAAAAGTATGGTTGAATTTCAAGGTAGAAAGAATTCATGTTTCAATTGATCCATACTTAAAGGCTCCCCTTTCATCACCATGTGTGTGTTCAGTGAAAACCTTAGGGAATGTAACATGTCAAACCATCCCTTGTCACAATGCGCAGCCGTCATCACTGTTTACTCCTACTGGGAAAGAGATGTGTACAAGCAGGAATCCCGGGATGTCTGTACATTGTCCATGGTGCACCTGCCATGGTGGCAGTATCCAGCTTAGGCCATTCATGCCTTCCGGGGTTGTGGATCTCAATGGCTCACTGCTCCAAGAATCAACATTTCTGGGTTCTGGTTTTTCGGTCTTCTACCGGGGAGCCGCCTCACTTGGGGCCAGGAGAGCCAGTGTCTTAGTTATCATCATCCCACACAGGCCAGGTGGTCTGGTGGCTCCATTGAACTGCTTCAACAGTACGTTAAAAGCTGGGTTGAAAAGCACTGTGTTAGCTGCTGCTCTTTGTTTTAATGATTGTTAATACAGTTATGAACATGGAAAAGCCAGTGTTTTCACATGACACAGGAGATGGGCATTGTTTCTGTGCACCTGAAGATTCTCACGGTGGCGCTGTGATGTGACTGGGACAAAGGAGGCAAAACTTCATCCTAAGGAACCGAAATGAGTGTGGAAATTGTCAGACATCCTGTGACTCATGTGCAACCTCCTCTTGTTGGGAAGGAAGAAACTTGTGTCGTGTTCTTTGTTCACGATGCTTTTATTTCCTGTCTTGGTTACTTGTATTTAATAAATGTATGATTTTGTTAATTTTGCTGTGTTCATTAGAAATGCTCAGAAAATTGTCTTCTGTTCCATCTGACTATGTGTATCCTGCTTAGGTCTTTCCACACGAAACTTCTATAAATGTCTATATATTTGCATCTGGCTTAAATCAATTAACTACTGTGTATTAGTACTCAGTGGTATCCATGTAAGTCCATGATATCCAGGTAAGTCCTTTAAAGACCAAAAGGGTAGGCCTGGGATATAGTGATTAACACACCTGTTGGGACATTCAGTTCCCCTCTCAGCATGCCTGGGTGCAAATCCTACCTGTGCCCTGGATTCCAGCTTCCTAGTCATGCACCCACTGGGAGGAAGATGGGCTTCAAGTAATTGGGTTCCTACTACTCAAATGGGAGATTTAAAGAGTTTCCATTTCCTAGCTTGCAACATTTGGTAGTGAACCTATAAATGAGGCTCCGTGTATGTGTGTGTGTGTGTCCCTTTGTCTTACTCCCTCTCTAACAAATGTGAAAAATAAAGACAGCTTTCCTTCTCCGTTTGTTCATTCAGCCATTGCACTGCCTGGGTCTGTGGCTCTCTATGCACACTGCCCGAACATTCCACACAGAGACTATGTGGCTGCCAACCTTCTGTCATGTGACTTGGTAGATTTTTTTTTAAGACAGAATTTAATTGGAAAGGCAGATATAGAGGGAAGATAAAGATCTTCCATCTTCTAATTCACTCCCCAGGTTGCCACAATGGCTAGAGCTGAGCTCTATCTGAGGCCAGGAAGCCAGGAACTTTTTCCAGGTATCCTGTATGGATGCAGGGTCCCAAGACTTT